CCCCCTACGTGCCACCAATGACGATCTTGTTGGCTTCTTCAATTCAGTTCCACAGCACCGCCTGATTGACGCCGTTCACTCCCTCGTTCAGCAATGGCAACGCCAGAATGACACCCATACTCTGACCGTTGACACCAAAGCCACTGGCAACCCTGTCCACCACTCCCACATTGGCAGGCACCACCGACGCCACCCTACACAGCGTACCATCCACACTGCAGACATTACGACCATTGTGGCACACGCACTTGACACCTGCATTTTCCGGGCATGCAACAACACTTACAAGCAAATCCGGGGGGCTGGGATTGGCTCCCAGCTCTCCCCTGCCCTTTGCAACGTTGCCATCACCCTCATCGAACATTCCTGGCACCAACTCCACAACAATCTCCTCCAACACACTGCCCTCCACTTCGCTTACTACCGCTATGTTGACAACCGTTTCATCATCCACAATGAACACTTCCTTTCACATCACGCCATTCAGACCCTCATCCACAACAACTTTTTCGGCGATCCCGTCGAATTGGAGACGGTGGAAGACTTCCACCTCCTGGGGTTCTACAACCCACCCAACCCTGGAAAATCAGGGACCACACCAGCGCCGGTAGCCAGCGCTTGGCTCTGTCCGGCTTAGCTTCAAGACTTCACTCCATCTATACCTACACTTTTCCATCCCACAATGCCACCGCTGCGGCTGAAGCCTTGGTCAACCTTTACGCCCAAAAAGGGCATGACCTGCAAGGGGGGAGGCGGTTTTTGAGAGAAAGATCCGTGTTTTCCACCGCTCGCTCTGTGCGCCGATCACGGCTTGTTGTGTGTGTGTCACACCCTGGTTCTAAGGGTTTTCCACCTTTTCACCTTTCCACTACCACTGAGACCGTCCCAATTGTCCATTTTTCCACTGATGTGAACTCATCAAAGGCAGGGGGTGGCAGCAGGAACGAGAGTCTGCCACCAACGAAGACACTCTCGATTTCCTGGTGATACTGGGACTGATCATCCCAGCGTACCTGCCGTAATCGCAAGCTGTTCCAATCATCCTTTTTTGATTCCATGGTGGTTCATGATACCTTCCCTTAAACCTTTTGCCGCTCTTCCATGCAGCTGAATTGTACAGAGGCTCGCCACCGCACACCTGTCGAAACTTTGTTCAACAATACTGTTTTTTGCGGACTTATGCGCCTTTCCGTTCCCTCACCTTCCTTCCCAACGTGGAAATTGAGTCTAACTGAAAACCCAAGCTCGAAGTGTGATCTCTGTGTTGTGATCTCTGTGTGTGTGTGTGGTCTCTGTGGGTGTTGTCTCTGTGTGTGTGATCTCTGTGTGTGTGATCTCTGTGTTGTGATCTCTGTGTGTGTGGTCTCTGTGTGTGTGATCTCTGTGTGTGTGTGATCTCTGTGTGTGTGATCTCTGTGTTGTGATCTCTGTGTGTGTGGTCTCTGTGGGTGTTGTCTCTGTGTGTGTGTGGTCTCGGTGTGTGTGATCTCTGTGCGGGAGGAGCGGGAGGAGCAGAAGGCGCGGGAGAGGCGGGATGAGACATAGAAAAGAAGAGCCCCACACTAAGATGTGGGGAAAAACGTTGGCAGCTGCTGAGATGGCGCCGGCGCGGCGCGGCAACTGTTGAGAAAGCTTTGCTACTTGTACCCGTGGAATGAAGGCATGAAAATGTGGTGAGAGCCCATGAGTATGAAAAATGAGATGAAAAATGCAGTCTGGAAATGAGAAGTGAAGCTGAGAATGAGATGAAGGGTGCAACGAACGTATGGAAATGCGATGTTGAAATGGCACGTGAGTCAACTGTACATCTTTGAAGCTTGAAAGCCAGCTGCGGATTGAACGTTTGAAAACTGCAATGAAATGTCATAGTGAAAGTGGAATATGTTGAGGTATTCCATCGTTTCTAGCCCGGCGGCTCGAAAAGCAGTAAATCCAGTGCTTGTGGAGTCTGTTACGATAATCCAACGAATGGTGGAACCGAAAAGCAGTTTGATGATTTCCGGAATGATGACAGCGCCTCCTTGCGGAGGATCACACCCAGCACCCAAGTGGGACGGCTGAGCGGTTCACACTCTGACATTGGTTTGCTGTTAACTCAATTCCCACGATGAGAAGGAAGGTGAAGGAACGGAAAGGCGCATGAGTCCGCAGAAAAGTATTATTTAACAAAAGTTTCACAACAAGCGCAAGTGGAAGCGGCTGCAAAGCGGAGGGAACCTGTTTGGGGATGGTAGCATGAAGGACCATGAAAACAAACCGGTCAAATTGGACAGCTTGTGCAAAAGTTGGTCGCAGGTACACACAGTTGATCAGACTGTGCATCCACCGACAAGCATAGCTTTGTTAGCCAGCGTTTGCTTGTCGGCCGCTGGCCCTCTGCGTGTAAAAGGTGGGGAAATCGAGAAGCACCCTTTGGAACAGGGGTTGACACACACACACACACACTTGAGAAGCATGCAAGGTGCCCCCTTTCTTGCGCACACTGACCAACAGTAGAAATCAGGCCATGGGCGGGCAGGCTGTGAGGACGACAGGGACCCGTTCAGGGGTCGACAGCTATCGAAAACATGTGATGTCTTTATACACACATAGCAGTTGCAAACAAATCCTGCCAGTGAAGGCAGTGATACTTACAAATGTGGCACAAGAATGCGCTGAAAATGTGTGGCAAGCACAAGAACGCCAATGCCGACCATTAAAACAGAACTGCGCAGCCAAGTGAACAACAGAGTCCCTGGAACCCGGCTCCAGACTCTATCTGTATGAGCGGCATTTATTCGTTACTAAACTCAAATACACTATCCAATATGTGGGGGCCCTACCTCGTTTAGACTAATTAAGTAGGAGGTCATGTCACAGTACCTCGTTCAGACTTCTTTAGTAGAAAAGTAGCAAATCACAATATCTCGTTCAAACTACTTTAGTGTCATCAAAAACAGGACTCGTTTATGTGGGGGCCCTATCTTGTTCACCAGCGAATACTGATGTTGGACAAACAAATAGAGAAAGACGTAGAATACTTTACTCAACATATAGATAAAAGTGATTGCTCATATAGAAACAAGGTGTCCGCGTGACATTCGGTTTTACTCCATGTCACGTCAAGTAGATTCACCTAATTATGCAATTTGAGGGCATGAACAACTCATGTTGTCTTTTTGTTCACCCCCTTCATACCCAATACCACTGTGCATCAAGGGGTGCACTGGGAGCGCTGTCGCAGGACCACACAATGGGGTTGGTTGTTCATGCACCCGGAATGTAGTCCTGGGATGACCAAAAGACCTCGACAACCCACAGTACTCTGATTGCACATGTGCTAAGAACCTTGCGCTGCTGTGCAAGGCATGAAGCCAAGCAAGTTGGCAATTAGAAATGCCGGGCATGAGACCTCAGCCAAATTTTGCCCAAACAAACACCCTCCCAATACCTGTTGCCAAGTGCTCGGCTTTGCTGAGTCCACATGCGTATGCCAATATAGAGAATGGGATGAGTGGGGAGAGTCGCAAGAGAAATATGATCTTGAAGCCTCGCTCAACAAACTAGCAAACCCCAACCACTCAACCAGCACTGCACGGCGCCTTCAAGCTCCACAGCGCGGTTGATCTGGTGAAATGCCTCCCGGTTCAAGTCATTAGGAAGGTCCAAATTCATGTCCTGCCCGGCCCTGCCGCTTAAGGCACTTGTGCACCTTATTATTTGCAGCCAGGCGGATCAAAGAAGGCCGCCTTAGGTTCTTGTTGTGTTTAGGGCCAGGTTGCGAGATCAGCAGCAGCCCTCCAGGCTTCGTGCAATAGCGTCCGCGAGAGAACAAAGCATAAACCTCCAGCAACTCCTGCGCAGGAGAAAGGATCCAACAAGTTGAATCTCACAGTGTGCACTCTTCACACTCGCTCTCACGAGTTGCCAAAGCAACTTCACGCGAACAGTTCCCGCCTCCCGCCAAGATGGCAATCAGGAAACCCAACTGGAAACCAAACAAGTATCCTGACGATCACGGAAAGGACATCCAAAGCGATCAGCTCACGCGGCTCACGCCCAGTGCAACAGCTACAGTTCTCCTGCTGACAATGTGAGCGGCGTGGCCGGGACCTGAGCATCGAAAGCAATTAGGATCAACACAGAGCATGTCTCGCAGCCGGAGCTAGCCAGAGTGGATACATGCAGTCAAAAACCAAACACCATGACCAATCCACGAACGCCGCGCTTTCAACCAAGGCTGTGATTTCAAGCGAACTATTGCCTAAATCTGAGAGAAGGTTGGTACGAAAGCCAGCGTGGGACATCTCAGCGGCAATGGCCTATGGCAGTCTGCACAGTAAGCAGCTTATTTGGAGCGGGAAAGAAAACGAATTAAAGCACATGGCTGGAGAGGGCAAGAATATGTGTAGGTTGCCTGCCTGCGTCCGGCTTGGCGCTTGCAGGCTCGTCGTGGTATGGCGCCAGGAGATATGCTTGGAGCGGCCGCGGGCTTGAGCAGTGGGAGTGTAACGAGCTCTCGCAAGGACTGCAAGTGGAGGGGAGGGCCTGAAAATGTGATCAAGGCGCCGTAGAGCACGATGCTCTTTCTGCCGGGAGGCAGCGTGGGCTTCGCTGAGGCAAAGTGTGCATGGCGGTGTTACATTAAATAACATGAGACAAGCCGCAGCTTTCATGAGACAAGCAAAACATGTGTCGGGTGGCGGTCATTTTGCGGCTTCCCCCGATCTGTTTTTCTTGCTCAGGGGACACGGAATAAATCCTGTGTTTTGCGCCGGCTACCAAGCTTTTTCGTTTCTAGCAAAAATTGTGCGTCGAATGCCCAGGGCATGGCCGGCTAGGTCTCCCTGTGGCAGTTGGTTAGGACATGTTCGCTCTTGGTTGCACTCTCTTGGCTGGAGAGAGCAGGGTGCCTGGGTGTGGAACCACCCCCAACTGTCAGCGCCTCAGAATCAGATCAACTTGAACCTTGCCAAAGATGCAGCTGGTCTTGAACTGGAGGCCCAGAGCTTGAGAGAGTCTCGGAGACACACACTTTTTCTTGACTTCCAACACAGTGGACGAAGAGATGCGTCGGCGGTACATGGTGCCCCTACTCAGAAACTCGGCTCGCCACCGTGCGCAAGGCATATCGTAGTCTTTGTACCCATGGATGCGCCGTGCTCGTCGGCGCCATAGTGTCCGACGCCCGGTTTCATGTCATGATGGGTGATGATATCGAACCTTGTCAGTGGCGTGGGACTCAAGAGATTCCGTCTTGGGACCACCTTGTTTGGTCCTGCCCAGCCTTTGCTTGCACTAGATGTGTCCTGCCTGAGGACCCCCTCCAAAGAATTTTAGGTTGGCCAACAGGCCACAACGAAGCATATGATGCAGCCGTGCTTCATCACTTGATTACTGTCCGACAACAATTGCTTGATCGGCGTTATCGCGCCATTTGAGAGCCAAGGGTGTTTTGGGTGGTGGCGTCATTTGGCACAGCTCTACTGCTGTGACTTTGGACCAGTACCTGTTCAAACCTTATTTCATGTAGCGCGACGATCGAGGATGGCACTGTGTCGCCCTGTAGGCCATAAGTTGCAATGATTGTCATGGCAGACAGGTTGGTGAGGGTAGTTCACAGCGATGAAACTGAAGACATTGTCGAGCTGGGTTCCTCTCCAAGGAAGGCGTGCTTACTCGGCGGAGATTTAGTGTGGCACTGAATGTATGGATCGCTGCAGCTTCTAAAGCAACTACTTGAGTGCATGCGCAGGACAATTGACAGGGGGCGAAGTGATCCAAGAGTAGATGTTCATCTTGGGGCTTGGGGTGGGATGCAGCGGGGTGGAAGGTGTTGCCAGGAGGCATCGGTCGTGCCTGGTCGGCGGCGAGGTTGTGGAACGGCAGCTATGACTGCGCTGCAAGAGGAGGACCGTGGAGATGTCGTTTCAGAGCTTAGCTCCGAGCAGGATCTGCTGCTGCGATGCGCTTGGGTAAGCAGTTGGTGTCCTTGGCTGTGGGGGTTTCAAGAGGCAAGCAAGCGCCACCAAGAGGCGGTACAGGCTGATGGAAGTCAGTCGAAAGGTACGGCAAGGCCCCCCCAGGAAGTTGTTAGTCGTGGGTAGATTTGGCAGGTCCGCAAGTTTATGGGATAGCATGAAGACCTCGTCCATGAGGAGTGTTTGGATGCCATGAAGTGTGTATCATCGCGCTTTCTTAGATCCTCAGTCAGGCCCAATGATCGCATAGCTCCACGAAGTGCACATGTCCGCCCTTCCTTTTCTCCATCCATCCAACCATCCATCCCTAGCTCTCCCATTGCATCCATTCAGCTGTCCGACTGTCTCCCTCTTATCCGGACATTTGTCCGACTGCCCGCCATGAGTTGCATCACCAGCATCATCAGAAATCCACCCGTAGACTACCGTTTAACCAACCTAGTTCCACCAATTTATGATGAATTTGGTCAATTTTCGCTCAATTTTCCCCCAAGGCTGCCAATAACTTCATTTGTAAAAATCGAACTTTGGCCTAGCCTGTTGGCTGGCTTTCGTGATGTAGTGGAAAACCACTGTCCATGAAATAAACAAAGCCAGAATCCTCAAACAAGTACTGACACGATGCTCCGATGCGCGTTCATTGGCGCAGAGGTTTCACTTGCACAAGAGCAGGGCGACCTGGCCTCTCTTGCGTCGTCGGAATAGGAACGATGGCGGTTTTTGCAAATGATAAAGCATGGTGCGCGACTTGGCACCCACCAAAAGAGCTGAGAAACAAATTTGGTTTTCTCGACAGAAGCATTGAGCTGACAAGAGCCTTTAAATTCGCACTGCGATTCCGGAAGCTTCCCATAAGGGGACTCAAGGGAGTCTAGCTCATATGGTGCCAGTTGGGGTCTAGAAAACCACGCATGCAAGCTGCAGATGTACCTATAGCATACATACAAATTTATATTTCCCAAATGTCTGGCACAAAACCACGCGTGCAAGCTGCAAATGTAGCTTATAACATACATACAAAAGTGCAACGATATATTGTATAAGATTGGAAAGAAACAACCGAAAAAATAGGTCCCAAATGTACTGATGTAGAATGCAGATGCGTTACGCAAAATATTTCTACAAAAGAACCCTTCGCAACGCTCTCGGGAAGAAGAGAAGTGAGAAGAGAGACAAAAACAAGAACAGGAAAAACTTTTCTTCCTTAGCTCTAAAGTCGATCTGCTGCTACGGAGGTGGTAATACATTTGCAACTTCTACAGCTGTAGTTGTATGCATGCTGCAATAGGCCTGCTACAAGTACATCTGTAGCTTGCAGGTATGGTTGTGTAGAGCTGTTGCTAAGCCAGCATTGCTTTGGCGCTGGCAATTGCCAATGTGTGTAGCTGTCGTCGAAAATGGAGGTGGAGGCGCCAAAGTGCGTAACTGTCGTCCAAAATGGAAGTGGAGGTTGCCAAAGTGTGTAACTGTCGTCGAAGTGGGAACTTGGTAATGCAAAAATAGTGCCGGAAACAGCTTCTGAGAGCTGTGGCACCAGAACTGGCCACTTGGCACAAATGAAGTGCGGGAAGCACAGCCTCAGAACTGGCCACTTGTAGTGCAAACGTAGCGCAGCAAGCAGCTTCTAGGAGCTCCGGCCTCAAAACTGGTCACTTGGTAGTGCAAATGTAGTGTGGGAAGCAGTGTGGCGAACTGGCGACTTGGCGGCGCCCACCACTATTGATGTTACATTGTTGTATCTAGTCTGTTGCGCACCGTGTGGCCATATTCCGTCTGTGATGTCACTGCGCCGTGCGGTTTTGCGCGGCCACGGTGGCAAGCGCGCCAGTGGGGAAGGGAAAACATTCGGCGTGTCGCTGGGGAGCGGGATGATTGGCGGTGTCCACGACGCTTGATGTTACATTGTTGAAGCCAGTCTGTTGCACAGTGTGGCCAAATTCCGACTGTGATGTCGTTGCGCCATGCGGTTTTGCGCGGCCACGGTGGAAAGTGCTTTTGCGTGAGTCCGTGCCATTGGGGGCAGGAAAGCGCGCAGTAAATTCGGCGTGTTGCTGGGGGAGCGGGATGATTGGCAGTGTCCACAAGTCTCATCTTACTACATCCAGAGCAACAACTCTAGAAACGTGCATCCGCGCGTGTACTTGTAGCACCTTGTGGCATACATGTAACTGCAGCTACAAAACTCTCAGAGGTATTTACACGCGCCTCTTACTTCTACATATCCTTTCCATCCACGCTCGCGGGCCATCTGTCGTCTAGTTCTTCTTATTCTTCTTCTTCTTCTTGCAATTCTTGTCCTCGTTTTCGTTCTTCTTGTCCTTCTCTTTCCTTTTCCCCTCTTGTCAGGTGAGGGTTGTTGTTAGATTTGAAGAAACGCGCCGCAACTCCTCGTCCTCCTTCTCAAATTTCAAATCGCAGTGGGCAATCTCAGACCTCAACAGCAAGCGCAGATCGCAGTGGGCAACACCGGGCCTCGACATCAAGCGGCAGATCGCAGTGGGCGCCACCAGACCTCAAGCGCCAGATCACAGCAGGCGCTACCGGCCCTCAACAGCAAGCGCCAAGATCACAGTGGGCGCACTCGGAACTCAACAGCAAGCGTGAGAGTGCAGTGGGGAGGCCATCGCTAGTAGGTTCGAGGCCATGGCTAGTAGGTTGGCTTCACAGCAAGCTCCAGATGGCAGTGGGCACTTTCGATCCAGGCCACAATCGGCGCCACCGGACCTTTTACTGTATGTAATCACACTACATCCTGTAAAACAAATTGCCTTCATTTCATGACTTGAGAAGCCCCAGGCCCGGCGCCCTTTGCAACACTCGTAATCACATTGCCTCCTGTAAAAATATAGCTTTGCCTTCGCTTCATGACTTGAGAAGCGCCGCGCCTGTGGAGCGCTCGAAATCACAACGCGTGCTCAAAAAAACCTGCTTTGCCTGCTTTTGCGACCGCAACCGCAACCACAACCACCACAACCGCAACGCGCAACGGAACAACGCAATTGCCTGTGCGTGTGGCATTTCGCGTGGCACGTGCGGGCTGCACTTTGGATAGAATGCCAGCTGTAGACCCTGGCGACGACTAAAACAACAACCCCAAACCACAGGCGTGCTCCTCACCATGGCGCGAAAACAACTGATTGAAATGTCACGGTACGGTGGGGATCAATCGAAGTAAAGTAATTGCGTTGCTGTGGCTGCTGCTGCCGCTGCTGCTGCAGCTGCACTCTTGCCTGCCTTCACATGCTCCTTCGTCGCAACTTTTTCCCAGCCCTCTTCTGCGCACTGCGCTAGCCGTCAAAATTTTCATTTTCACAACCCAATTCTGGCAAACCCCAGTTCCCAGTTTCTGTCGGGTCGATATAACCATGCAAAACAAGATGGAGCCCACGAACCCGAATGCAAACACGTTCGAAAAGCTACATATGTCCAAATGACACTCTTGTAGGACACTCTTGTGAGACACTCTTGTAGGACACTTGTGGGACACTTTTGTAGGACACTCTTGTGGGACACTCTTGTGGGAAGCTCTTGCGGGGCACTGTTTTGGGACACTCTTGTAGGACACTCTTGCGGGACACTCTTGTAGGACACTCTTGTGGGACACTGTTGCGGGGCACTTTTGTAGGACACTCTTGTGGGACACTCTTGAAGGACACTCTTGTGGGTCACTCTTACACGACACTCTTGTAGGACACTTCTTGTGGGACACTCTTACAGGGCACTCTTGTGGGTCACTCTTGTGGGACACTCTTATAGGACACTCTTGTGGGACACTCTTGTAGGACACTCTTGCGGGACACACTTGTGGGACACTGTTGTGGGACACTCTTGTAAGACACTCTTGTGGGACACTCTTGTAGGAAACTCTTGTGGAACACTCTTACAGGACACTCTTGTGGGACACTCTTATAGGACACTCTTGTGGGTCACTCTTATGGGAAACTCTTGTCGGACACTCTTGTGGGACACTCTTGTGGGACACTCTTGTAGGACACTCTTGCGGGACACACTTGTGGGACACTGTTG